CAGATGGTGTTGGAGGGTGGACAGGCAGGTAAGCTCAGCTGTTTTGACAGAAATTGATCTAAAGCTAAAACCTTCCTCCTGTTCCATTGTCCCTCTTTGCTTTTTTATTGAGGTTTGGGACACTACTAACGCTGTTGTTGGTGAAATAATTAAAAGCAGTCTGTCTTTTGGAACTGTGCCTTCATTCTATAAAAAAAGCAGCTGTTGAACCACTGATCAAAAAGCTAGTTTGGATCCCAAGACTTTCTAATTATCAACCAATTTTCAAATTACTGTTTGTCTCAAAGATTTTGGAGAAATGTGTTTTGGTGCAACTTTTTTTTGACAAACATGGCATTTTATATCATGATATATTCTGTTAGGGTATAAAACATTTAACAGTATTGAATCAGCACTGTTAAAGATTTGAACGGTTTTTAAAGGTTTTTTAACAACTGATTCTGGCAGTTCCGCCATTGTGCTTTTAGATCTTACTACTACTTTTGACAAAGATGACCACACAATTCTTTTAACCACCTAAGAGGCAGACTGCTCTGCAGTGGTTTAATTCCTGCATTTCAGAGAGGTCTTTCTGTCAGGATGGGGGCGTCCATGTCATCGTCTGACCCCCCTTTATTGTGGAGTCCCTTGGGGTTCTATGCTGGGACCTTTATTGTGTGTGCTATACCTCCTCCCTTTCAAAGAGATTTTTACTAAATATGGTAAAGCGTACCATTTCTCATCACATTTATTTGCCAATTGCAAAAAAAAAAAAAAAGCCACTGCCCCCAGACCCCCACTACTTGAACACTTGGGTGATGTCAAGGCTTGATTATCAAAACGTTCTCTGAAACTTAATGAGAGTAAGGCAGATGTGATGGTGTTTAGCAGTGTCACCTCAAAATTTTGAGCTTTCAAAGATTGTCCCAAATTAACCAACCATGGTGATTTGAAACTGGACAAATAAAAGCATTTTAAATTGCGTTTTTATTATCTACGTCTTTTATCTAAGGTAAAACCATTTTTATCTTTCAACCTCTTTGAGCAGCTTTTACACACTTTTATTTCTAGCAATGCACTTTATTCAGGCATTAGCCAACCAGCTCTCTCCTGTCTGCAGTAGGTCCAAAAAGTCTTTTAACGGGGACCAGAATACATCAACACATCACACCAATTCTTGCATCTCTGCACTGGCTCCCCTTTTTTATTTTAGAATAGATTTTAAGATTTTATTGTTTTTGTTAAGAGATTTGAATGGGATGGCTGCTCAATACATAACCAACCTCCTCCAGATTTACTCTGCAGCACGTGCTCTGATGTCTCAGAGCCATCTTCAGCTAATAGTGCCTAAGACGAGGCCTAAAAGCAGAGGGGACAGAGCCTTTTCTGTAGTTGGCAGACTGTAGACTTTGGAATACTTTGCTTTCAGCCTCCTCAGTGGAGAGTTCTAAGTCTCGCCTTAAGACCCACTTTTACTCCTTGGTTTTTTACACTTCATAATTGTGTGGTCCTCTGTGTCATTTTTATTCATTTATTCATTCTAAACTGCTTTTGCGTGTATATCATGGGTTTTTTGTTTTTGTTTAGGCAATGTAAGGAAATTTTTTTGTATAGCACAATTCAGTACAAAGACAGTACATGATTAAAATATAGGAAAATAAAACAGAATCAAAGCAAGTAAGAAAAAAAAAATAAAATAAATTTACCGATTCGACCTAAAGTTCCATCATCAAAAACAGTTGGACTAAAGAAAATAAAAAAGTAGAAAT